ACACCTACCCAGCCAGAAACGCCCGGGGCTCTGTGCTGTTCCAGCGGCTCCTTGGCCGGCCCTGCCACTGGCAGCACTGGGCGCAGGGAGCCTGCACCACGCATGCGGACAGAGCAGCTCTCACGTGGGAAGCGGACCCCAGGTGTGACTGGTGTACGTGATCAGGAATTGTCATGTTTCCCCGCAGCACAAACATGGGTTCTTTTCTTTATTCATCAGACATCTGCTCAGTGGCTAATAGGAACCAGGCTGCTCTGCCTCCTGGGACTAGTAAAGACTAATAACACACATTTTTATCCTCACAGAGCTGAAGTCTAGCCTGGAAGGTGGAGGGCCCCTGCAGCGGGGGCGGGAGCAAAGCCCACGTAGAGGCTGTCCCTGTGCGGCAGGGCCCCAGGCGGGGAGGAAGCAGGTCCTGCGGGCAGAGGGCTGCGGCCACATTCCTGCAGCAGCAAAAGCATGAGCTCAGTATGCCCAAGCCCTGAGGAGGTGAGGGAAAAGGGGAAGGTGAATTTCCTTATTCAGAGATGTTTCTCAGTCGCTGCTGTTTGTCACACTGCTGGGTTACTGACACCAGGCTGAAGAATCTCACTGTACTGCCTCAGGGGGAGGACCTTGCTTGCCGAGATTGTGTGGCCTTGGGGACAGTGCTCCAGGCCCGGCAGAACAGCACTTGTTCTGTGCTGGGGAAGTCGGGCAGCCGGTGCAGAGTGCTGGGACCACAGGAAGGCAGCTTCTGGGCTAGACCCAAGTCAGCCCCGAGCCAGCAGAGGGTCCCCCGTGGGGATGGGAAGTGGAAGAAGGATAACACGTAGGGGCAGAGGACGTCTCAGTCTGTACCTGTCTATAGCATTTTAATGTTCAATCCTTGATACCTACAAGTTTGAGGACATGTGCGGAAAAGATGGAAAGCGTGCCGGTGATGTTGCCGTGGGCCCCAGATACAGCATTCAGGGTCCCTGTCGACACGGGCACGTCTGGCCTGAGAATCACTACAGAGTTTGTCGATACTTAAAATACTGGCAGAAAATGACTGTGTCTGTATTTATATATACATAGATGTGTAAATATCTTGCCTCACTTGGTGAGCGGGGAGTGCTCTGTGCCCGGGGTGAAGGCCTGAGGAGGAAAGCAGGTCTTCAGCCGCTCAGTGGGTGTCCTGCTGAGGTCGTGACGAATCGTGAGCTCTTGTGGCCAGTCAACAGAAATCCCTACTGTGGTGGTATTTTCCCAGGCACCGCCAGTTTTATTGCCACCCACCATTGTGAAAACTCTGCAGATATAAACATCTCAGCACGCCCTCCCTCTGTCTTCAGATGACTTCCCGGTGGCATCCTAGGTGATGGTAACAGTCCACCGAAGGCTCACCCCGGAGCCATTTTCTTGTTGGAAACTTGCTTTCCTTTCCAGCACCCTGCTCATAACAAGGGATAAACTCTCTGACCCAGTGGACGCAAAACCTGGCCATGTCTCTGTGACTGTCTCCATGTTCTCATCAGGACGTGTGTGGTCGGGTGTTCGTGTGAATGGGTCGTCATCCTGCCTCCTTCAGGCGTAGTGGTCTGTTGGTCTGGGTTTAATTCTTGGGCTCCTGCTTCTCCATGAAACAAACCTTACAGTCTTTATTAAGGAGAGGAAAGGGAGGGTCTCTCCCCAGGACACCTTTTGCCAGAATATTCAGAGGAAGAAAGCCCACCCCGACCTCACGGTGCACTTGCGGAAGGCAGGGCCCTGGCCATGGGCTCCTCCTGCTCCGTGGCGTATCTGTTTGCAAACCACAGCTGCAGCTGCAACAGCGACATACATGCCTGCACCTCCCAGCTTTGTGTTTGCCCTTCTCTTCCTTGCCTCCCTTTTCCCATTTAAAAACATAAATTCCTGAACTCCTGAGACACAGAAGAATCAAAGTTGTGTGCTGAGGAAGGGGACTTACTCAGAAAAGAACATGTTATGTTCCTGCTCTTTCCTCTCCTCCACCTCCCTTCCGCTCTGGCCTTCATATGCCACCGCCGTAGCTTGATCTGGGAGAAAACAGGCACAGCAAGGTGGAGCCTGTCGAGAGGGCGGCTTGGGGCAGATTCGCACTGGTGGCATCCGGTCATTCACCCAAGCCCTGAGTCTCTGCCAGGTCTTCCCAGCACACCCGTGCTGCCCGGGGTGTGTGTCACCTGCTGGCTGCCATCCTGCTCGTGTATAGTTTCAAGTCTTGTTTCCTCTTCTGTTTAACGAGGGCCTTGGCCTAAGTGTGCTCGTGATTTGGACGAGTAGGTGGGCAGTCGAGAGAGTCCACCCCAGTCCCCTTAGCCAGCGAAGCAGGAGCTCCCAGGTTCCCGCCTGCGGGGAGTGTGGGGGCGGTCTGACTCGGTAAAAATCTGTGTGTTATAAACAGATATGCAAATGACCCCTGCGAGCGCTGAAAATGAAGGTATGAAAAGGCATCATCCTCATCCGTGGTTCCCACCTGGCACAATGACCTTATCAAAACGGAGATCTGGTAGTATGCACCGCGTGGATACCGAGGACACATCTAAGTTCTCACACCCTGACTTGCGTGCCTCAAATTCAGAATTAGTAAGCCCTGAGTCACTGACGCTCCGTTAGGCGCCCATGACACATGTTTGAGGAGCTTCACTGTGAATGCACGGGCTTTGATTTGACTTGCGGAACCTGTGGTTTAAAAAGAAAGGAAGGTGGCTTCGTTCTCAGAACCGGGTGCTTTGCTGCTGCTCCGGCCCCCTGGGCTGAGACTTTACTGGGACAGCTGTCAGTTTATTTGTCAAAACCCTCAGCTAAAGCCAGTGGTTGCTTGAAAGCTGCCTGTTTAATTGGCCGCCTCCGCTCGGGGGAGCAGCGTGCGACCAGAGGCTGACGCCTGGCTCCCTGACCACCCAGTCCCCATGGCGCTCAGCTCCCATTCCTGCAGCCCAGACCGTAACCCACCTCATCAGGGTATCGATGTGAGGCAGAAACACCTCATTATAAGAGCCCCCCTGGGAAACGGCAGGGGCCAGGGGTTTCTGGGCTGCATCACCAGCAGATTGCCTCTGCAAAACCACTCCTGCCTCAGGGGAAAGGACCAGCCGTGCAGGGCTGCGCTGGAGAGCCGTTCTAATCCCGGTCCCCCGTTCTTCATGGGCTTCGTCCTCTTGAGAGGAGCATGCTGGGAGCTGGCGGACACATGCCACACTCTGTGGATATGATGTCTGTCACTGGTCAGTTGCTAGATATTGATGGGAGCTGGTGAACACGCACCTCACTCTGTGGATGCGACGTGTCTGTCACTGATCAGTTGCTAGATATTGATCCTAGAAACCCACGCTCTGTGGGTCCCTCTCCAAGAAACAGCACAGCTTGTGTGTTGCTCTTCAGTTCCAGTTCAGACTGCTTTCACATGTTGGTTTCATCTCTGATTCCACCACCTGAGCACAGATTTTTAAAACTTCACCTGGGTCCCCAACGAGTAAGAGGGAGAACCTGGACTTGAAACTTAGTTTTGTTTCAAATCTCGCCCCTTTTCCTTAGGTTTTGGGCCAAAACCTCCCAAAGTATTATCATCACCTCTGTCCATCCAAGGCATGATCATTTAATTCCCTTCAAGAACCAGCACCTGCAGAAGTGCCCCCAAGTCAGGCGGCCTGGTGTGGTCAGGCTGACACTGCCAGCCTCAGAGATGGCTGGTTTCCTCCAGGACACCCCCAGGACCCTTGTAAGCCCCTTCTTCTAGGGGCCCGTTCCTCCTCTTTCCCTAGGCCCCGTCCCCCCCACCTTGCCCTCCTACTCCAGAGAGGGGTCTTCAATACCACCTAATAAGCGACGACTTCTCATCCAGAAGCCTGGCTTGGGTCAGGTTCCACGTTTCAGCCGTGCACGCCCAGGAGCAGCCCTGCTTGTGTCTGGTCATCGGTGCCTCAGCTGCAGTGAGCCCCACTGTAACCCCTCCGTGATGAAAACACACCCCACCTCTTCAGTGGGCGGTCCTCCACTCAGATCCTCACACCCCTGGGATCGTCCCGGTCTGTCCTTGCTGCCCTGCAGCTCCAGCCCAGTCCGTCTGACCCGTAGCCCGCCTGCCGTGTCCTTCCCGGTGGCAGCTCCAGCTGGGCTCTGCAGCCGCTCCCACCCAGTCCCACCTGCCCCTGCCTGCCCTGCCTCTGCCCACCCTGCCCCTTCCCATCCTGCCCCTTCCCGTCCTGCCCCTGCTGCTGCCGACCTGCCCCTTCCCGTCCTGCCCCTGCCTGCCCTGCCTCTGCCCACCCCACCCCTTCCTGTCCTGCCCCTGCCTGCCCTGCCTCTGCCCACCCCACCCCTTCCTGTCCTGCCCCTGCTGCCCTGCTGCTTCCCACCACCAAGAGGCTGGTTCCGATAGGGTGCTGGATGTGATTGTGTGGACAGGCATGGGCTGACCTGAGGGGTGGGAAGGATGCCTGCCTGCCTGACAGCGGCTTTAGCACCGAGAAGCCTCCGCCTTGGGGCTGGTCCTGTGGGTGAAAGAGCCGGGCCAGTGGGAAGCGCCTGTTAGAGTGGGCCTGTGCACACCCGTCAGTGGGAATTACTGCCTCACACATGGTTGGTTTTCAGGATTTTGTAAGTCCAAGCAAAGCCCCAAAAGAGCTTCGGCAGTCCGGGTCTGCACCAAGAGGCTGGTTCCGATAGAGTGCTGGATGTGTTCCAGTGTGGAGAGCAGAGGGAGGGAGTGGGCCCCGTGGACAGGAGTGGGGGTGCCGGCAGGGGCTGCAGGGTGCTCCCCAGCAGGCAGCACACGGTGTGAAAGTTCGTGTCTAGGAGCCGCTGTCCTCCCAGTGGGTGGTTGTGGGATCCCTGCCCTTCTTAGCCAAGGAGAGCATGTCTGCAGACGCCGGCTGCGGCTGTTTTTCCAAATGGAAAGGGGGAAATATTGAGGCGTTAGCAGCCCGTGCCCTCGTTTGTTCACGCACCACGCGAAGCTTGAGGCTCCCGTGGGCCTCTGCACTCACAGCCTTTCCTTGTCTCTTTCTCTCCAGTCGTGCCAGGCGGACCTCGTGAAGGACAATGGCCACAAGTACTTCCTGTCGGTGCTGGCGGACCCCTACATGCCAGTAAGGACTGGGCAGCGCCCTCTCGGCGGGCTTGCGTCTCGCGGCACCCGCCTCTGCCCACACGCTGCACTCGGCGGGGCCTTTCTGCGGGGGCTGTATGAGAAAGGTCCAGGGCCACAGCAGGGGCCACGTCCACGCAGCCAGCGACTGCTTCACTTTAGTCATGGCCCTTGGCTTAGTGCCGTGAGTGCAGCTGCTGTTTCATTTCCGTCTCTAAACAAGGGCTACAGTTCACCCGGACACGCGGGTCATGGGGGTTTGTTTTAGGCTGTTTTCACTGGCACTTCTTTGCAAAACGGTCGCATCCACTCTTGCCAGCTGTCCACTGAGTTAGAGTAGTGAGTGCTTGCACACCTGTGATGTGGCAGTTCCACAGCCTCGGGAGGCCCTGGGACTCAGCAGGCTGTCGAAGGGCCTCGTCAAGAAGGGAGGGAGGAGGAAGGGAAGAGCGGAAGAAGACTTTGAAAGTTTAAACTTTCAGTATATTTTATTGTATTAAATTGTTTAAAAATGAGTCATCCATGAATTGGGTATAGAGTTATTCTGTAAATGTCTCGTAATGTTGTGTTTCCCACTTCTGGCTCCCAGCTCAGTGATGAAAACAAAGTAGATATATCCTAAATAATTCTTTAACATGACTTCATATTGCCAGAATATGTAAGCATATGAGCTTGTTACACGGTGCTAGGTGGCTTTGGCTGCAGAAAGGAACTTCTGTATGTAATTTCACCCCTAGCTGGTTTTCTAAGCGAAATGATTTTTTAAAACACAGCAAACAAACAGGACTGCTTTCCGAAAGGTGAATAGTACATGCACTTTGCGTTGGATCGAGACAGCATCCTAGGCAGTTAAAGTTTATACTTGATGCCAGCTTTGGAGATCACTTCCCATGCTTAAGAGTAACGAAAAAACACATCCAACTTGGAGAAGTGAGGGAGTGCTAGCCGGTGACAGGGAAAGGGATGAGCTGGGCTCACAGGAACCGGCCCCACCTCACGCCCTCATACGAGCCTGCGGGGGTTTTGAGGACACAGCCGGGCAGGAAGGAAGGAAGAGACGGCTGGGCGCAGTCGCTCACGCCTGTAATCCCAGCACTTTGGGAGGCCAAGGCTGGCAGACTGAGCTCAGGGGTTCGAGACCAGGCTGGACAACTTGGTGAAACCCCATCTCGACCGAAAATACAAAAACTTAGCCAGGCATTGTGGCGCATGCCTGTGGTCTCCGCTACACGGGAGGCTGAAGTGGGAGGGTCGCCTGAGCCCGGGGAAGTCCAGGCTGTAATGAGCTGTGATTGTACAGCTGCACTCCAGCCTGGCCAACAGTGAGACCCTATCGCCAGTAAATAACTAAGTAATGTCAACATGTTTCAATGACGGACTGGAAGGAAATCGGTACGATGATGTCAGACATCAGCCATTGCTTCGTGTCCTCAGGGCTTTGTGCCTGTTATGAGAAAACACCCTACCCATCCTCAGAAACGACTGCTTTCTCTAAACACATAAGCAGATCTGAAAAAACAAATTGAAGCTGTAAAATAGAAAAGACATTCCCTGTTACTGAAAACTCGGGAGATGAATTAAATCACAGAGCAGACAGCCGAGAAGGAGCTCCTGAAGGAGACACCTGGAGCGCCGTGTGCGAAGCTCAGAGAGAGGGTATGCAAGGCGCGCCGAGAGGGGCGGGCACGCTCACGTGCAGCTCGCGTGGCTCAGAGCGAGAGAAGATGGTAAGTAGAGAAGCCGTTTCTGATTAGATACTGGCTGAGAATTTTCCAGATTTGAAGAAAGGAGAGTTCTGATTTTAAAAGCACGATGAATCCTGAGAAGGTTAAACAGAAGCAGATGCATACATAGACACATGGTAATGAAAACAGCAAATATCAGAGACATGAACACAACCCTTGAAAGTCCCCAGAACAAATGTTATTTACAAAGGAGGAAACAACGCCAGCCCAGATAGCGGACCTCTTAGCAGCAGCAGCTCTCGGTGGTGACGGGGGGCTCTTAGAGGGGAATGGGGAGCTTTCAGGGACAGGGGTCACTTGTCAGCAGAGGCTCTTGGCAGGAACAGGGGGCTCTCGGCAGGGGTGGGGGGCTCTCAGCAGGGACGGGGGGCCCCCGGTGGGGGTGGGGGCCCTTGGTGGGGGACAGGGAGGCCCTCAGCAGGAGATGGGGCCCTCGGCAGGGGACGTGGGGCCCCACAGTGGGGATGGGGAGCTCTCAGTGGCGGACGGGGGGCCCTAAGTAGGGATGGGGAGCCCATGACAGGTGACAGGGGTCCCTCCAAGGGCACGGGGGGCCCTCAGCAGGGACAGGGGGGCCCTCAGTGGGGATGGGGGGGCCCTTGGCAGGGGACAGGGGGCCCTCGAGGGGGACAGGGGGACTCTCGGCAGAGGAGGAAAGTGACTGCAGTTGGGACGCCTGCTCCCAGCTCAGTCACCACTCAGCAGTGGGGGTACAGTAAGCAGTGGTCAGCAGTTTACTCCTTCCGAACCCCACAGCTGACAGCTAGAAAGACCGAGCATCAGTGAGGAGGAAACGGGACCGGGAGGGAGAAGCAAGATGCAGGACACGGCGAAAAGAAGCTGGCAAACGTGTTGGCACATCTGAAGCTTTGTAAAAATAAAGAACGCTCATGGCGAATTGGAGGGGTTGAGCATGAGGAGGAATGGGTGCCTGGAGCCTTGCAGGCGCCACACAGGACGTGCTAGACTGTGCGGTGTGCACGGGAAGAACATAAGGCCCCCAACAGAGCTCAGAATAGACTCTGGCTTCCAGGTCAGCAGAGGCACAGAGGAAAGGAGAGGATGAAAATTAGGTCCATGGAAGACCGGAAAGGAGGGAACAGGGAAATGCAGTTAGAAGGCTGCCTCTGTGCCTTCCGCTGCCGCAGCCCTGACTGCCAGACGGTGTGTGCACAGGGCGCTGGGCTGGCTGAGGAGGTGAGGTCCGGGCACTCCATACCGGCAGCCATGGCTGGCCCGTGGCAGAGGAAAGAGACGCCTGGTCTGTGCCCGTCCGGCCGTGCTGGGCCTTCACTCGGGAGACCAGCCTGAGCTCTCAGGCCCGTGTGAACCGTGGTTCTTTTTTGTAGTCTCAAAATCCAGCAGTAAAGCTGGCTTGTGGCTTCAGTGATGTGCCAAGAGTGTGGTGAAAGGGCCACGCTGCTGCGCTTTGGGAATGAGAGTTTCCACCGAGGGAAACAGCCAAGACCGTTTTGTTTTCCAGGCGGAGCACAGGACCATGACGGCCTTCATCCTCGCCGTGATTGTCAACAGCTACAACACGGGGCAGGTGAGCACCGCAGTCACCCCCACCCCCAGAGCCTGCCCATGGCGCTGCGGAGGAGCTGGGCCCACTGTGAAACGTGGCGCCACGTGGGAGACACGGGGTGTCCAGCAGACGCTTGGGCCCTTCATCTCCCCGGCCGTTTATGGGGTGAATTTGAATCTGTGGGATTTAAAATGGGGAACGTTGAGCAAACCTGGTGCTGTGAATAAATAAGGCTTCCCGAGGATGGGTGGCGCCGTCATCCCGGACAGGCACCCACCAGTGCCCGCCATTGGCAGGCAGAGGCCCACCTGTCTGTGGTCCCGCCTCTGCAGGAAGCCTGCCTTCAGGGAAACCTCATCGCCATCTGCCTGGAGCAGCTCAACGACCCGCACCCCTTGCTGCGCCAGTGGGTGGCCATCTGCCTAGGCCGGATCTGGCAGAACTTTGACTCGGCGAGGTGGTGCGGTGTGAGGGACAGCGCCCACGAGAAGCTCTACAGCCTCCTCTCCGACCCCATTCCCGAGGTGAGTCCAGCCGGTGCTCGGAGCCCAGTCCCGGCTGCCGCCTGCGGGGCCTCCCGGGGGCTGAGGTGGAGGGCCAGGAAGTACAGGCTGCTCACTAATAGGAGCAGGAGGGCGGGACCTTGGTGAGAGCGAGACGCGCCACTGGGGACTTTGCACCTGGGCCCAGAGTGTACTCCAGGGGGCAGCGGCACAAAGGGGGTCCCTGAGGGCACCTCAGAGGCGGGTCACACGCTCGCTGTCTGGGGTGCCGCTCTGCATCCTCGCTGCAGCCTGCGAGGCAGGGACTGCCTTGACGCCCCGTTGCCTTCACTCCTCCCACCGGCCTGTGCAGGGTACAGGGTGTTGCTTACTGAGCTGAGGGAACAGGCCCAGGGACAGTGACTTCTCCCCAGGACCACATGGTGTTGGGGGCAGGGGCTAAGCCAGGGTCCCCGGACCCCAGGGCCAGCGCAGTGTCGCTCCCCTGGGTGAGCCCTCCTGCTTGGTGCACTCCAGGGCTCCCACGCCCCCTCTGCCTGCAGGGGTGCCCACGCCCTCCCCTCGCTCCATCCTCCCTGCCCTGCGGCCCGTCCCAACCCCTCCTCTAACTCCTGCCTCATTCATCAGTATATTCCCTGGCGCCTGGTTTGGTCTTTGAATTCCCAGGGAAACCCAGCTCCCACCTCTTCAGGCTGACCGTCCGCCCCTGGAGCTGGGCAGCTGGCCCTGCTGCTGCCGCTTCCTTCCCCGTTGCTGCTCCAGCTGTGCAAGGAGAGCCCGGGCCTGCGTTGCTGTTCACCAGGCACCTGTGGGGTCGGGCTCACCTGCACACAGCCCTGGCGGACGGGCCGGCTCAGCACGGCCCGGCATGGGGCGTGCCTGTGACCACTCCCTGCCTTTCAGGTCCGCTGCGCAGCAGTCTTTGCCCTCGGCACGTTCGTGGGCAACTCTGCAGAGAGGACGGACCACTCCACCACCATTGACCACAACGTGGCCATGATGCTGGCCCAGCTGGTCAGCGACGGGAGCCCCATGGTCCGGAAGGTACGTGAACCCCCAGCCCGGCAGCGGCAGGGCGCCCAGGCTGGACCCGGCAACACGGGGCACCCGGCCATGCGACCCTGACGACAGCACGGAGCACCCACTTTCCGTACAGCCTCATGCGAGAACAGATCTTTGAATGTCTAATTCTCTCCAAAGTGCGTTTCTATACCAGACATTGTGTGTTTGCTTCGTTTAGAGGCATTTAGCAGGCCGCGCCTCCCGGCAGCTTGTGTAAAAGTCTCCTTCCTGCCTGGGAGCGACACACACACACACACACCACTGCGACCACAGACCCCACACACACACACCCCCCACTGCAACCACAGACCACACACACACACACACACACACACACCCCCCACTGCGACCACA